TTCAATCACATGTGTCTTCTGATAATAAAGCAGGCCTTTTAAAAACATTTTATTAAACTTGATATTTAAGGAAAACAAATGTTTATTTTAAGCAAAGGAAAGTATTCTGTTGATAAGAACTTTTGTTTTATTTTCCAAATCTTAATATTCAACAATAAAAAGCTGTTTATTTCTTTGGGATACTTTGTGTTAAGTTATACTGCCTTGTATTCAGTCTCTTTGTACTTTGGTTATGGTATAATTACTGAAAATCAGATTATCTTCATATGAACTAAATAACAAAGGCAAATTAGAGTATCACTCCATTGAAATTTTATAATTCTACATAAGACCAAAATCACTTTAATTTTTATTAATAAACTCCAATATATACATATATAAATTGATGACCATAAAAACATAGACAAAGTATTCAAAATAAATACAGTGATAGACACTTAGCATCACTGATGGGCATCTCAACTGTGGAAAAGATGGATAAGGCACAACCATATTTACACTGATAAGAAATGAGTAGAAGCTAGGTGTGATAGAGCAGACCTTTAGTCCCAACTCTAGGGAGGCAGAGGCAGTCAGATCTCTGTGAGATGGTCTACATAGTGAGTTTCAGGTCAGTTGCACTTTAGGGAGGCCTCAGTCTCGAAAAGAACAAAACAAATAAACATGAAATCAGAAAGAAAGAAAGAAAAAGAAAGAAGGGAGGAATGAAGGAAGGAAGGAAGAAAGAAAGGAGGGAGGAAGGGAGGGAGGGGGGAGGGAGAGAGGGAGGGAGTAGAGAAAGGAGTAGAATGAAAACGTGCAGAGTAGACAACTGAGGAAGATGGGAATGGCACTGTATAAGGTATCTATCTAAATTGTAGCACATGTTTATATGAAGATATTTCCCTTATTGACAGAGTAGATTTAGGCACATTTGCTTGAAATAAATATGAAAATAGACTGTTATTATCATAAAAACAATTCCATCATAGAAGGCTCCTAAAACTAAGAAAACAAACAAACAATAAAATAAGTGAAAAAGAAAAGGGGAAAGGTTTAAGATACTTCAAAACTTTATGTGAGAAAACTTGAATGTAAAAATTATGACTTCAAAATATAATTTGAATTTCTCTATAGTTAAAGTTGTTAAAGATTTTTAAAAATCCATTGGCCATTTGTGTTTCTTCTTTTTACAATTGCATATACAGTTCATTAGTGCATTTCTTGATTGGAAGATTTGGGGGGTTGGATGCTTCAATTTTTGTAGCTCATTTTTATTTCCTTTTTTTTCATTTTTTGAGAATGCCATATACCCATGTGAGGGTGAAGAAAAAAAAGTAGTAATAGAATACATGTGATAAGAATATCAGATGCAAAAATAAAAAGAACATCAGATGGTTACTAAGGGGAGGACGTAGACAGACAGAAGGCATAGGAAAAATAATTATGTACGGAAAAGCCATAGTGAAATACAGTATTTTATACTATTGTGAAAAACTAGTAAAAATTCTGATGACATATGGATGAAATTAATGATTGATAAGTTTTCTAAGGAAATATTTTCCCACTTGAGGCACAGAAAAAAGTGGAAATCCATAAATACAAAAAAAATGAAAGAAAAATATTTAAGATAAAAGAAAGTCCTTTCTAGGTGCATGCAGTTCATGAGTTAAGGGACTCATCTGTGACTCATTTCATTTCCTCAAAGAACCTTGTATTAGTTATTTTCTGTTGCTCTGATAGAAACACTGACCAAAGCAATTTATAGAAGGAAGAGTTTATTAAGCTTCTGGTTGCAGGGGAATTATAGTCCATCATGTCAGGGGGGCATGGTGGCTGGAAATGGCTGGAGCAGGAGCAGCAGAAGCTAAGCTCTCACATCAGCATGCAGGCACAGGAAGCAAGAGAGTGACTGGAGACCTGGCAAAGCTTAAGTAAT